CTCTTTAAATAATTGTCAGAGGTGGATGCACCTGTTCCAACTTCCAAGTATGGGAAATGTCACATGCCGCATGTGCACCGAGCGAAAATCTTACATTTTTTTTTTTTTTGCCGAAGCGAAATTCTTACATAATTCTAGGAAATATGAAAAATTAGGTGAAAATAATAGTACCTATTTGTTCATACTTGTTTTAGAAACATTGTTTTAGACATAAATTCACCAATCTACTCTAATAATTAGTTGATCAAATGTAATTAAAATACAGTAAAATAAAATACTATGCAACAACGATTAATAACAAACCTCACATCTTTTTTTCGAATCATGATTTTTCTCATGTAATTGTTGTAAAGTCCACAATAATGGCCCCGTTGTTGATTAATTATTATTTTTCCCCTCCATCGCTGTATCGCTTTTCTTTTTTTTTGCTTGACCAGCTTCATCTTTGGATTAATTAATCCCGGTTAAGAAACTTAAAACTTTAATAGAGAGCCCCACTTTGTACTCAGAGGTTTAACCCATTAGTAATAATTTAATAGTACATTTGAGAGACTAGAAAACAAAATAAATAAATTTTGAACAGAAACAATATTCTGGCTGGCATGCATGCCCTCCATCACAAGATCGATTTTCTTGAATTTTTAAACATATTGAGAGAGAATAATAAATAATTTATATTTGTGAAAAAAAAAAAAAAGTAAAAGAGCTCTCAATAATTTCGAGGAAACGAACAAAGTTAATTCTAGTTAAATGGACATGGCTATCGACAGTGAAGTTTAATTTTGTTTATGAAGATAATTTTAGTAATACATGAAAACAAAAACAAAAATAAAAGGAGAGAAAAGAGATTTTGTCTCATTGGATGTGACCGTCTGAACGAAGATTAGACGATTTGACTTTTGCGTGTTTGACCTATTTATGGGACCCATACAGACAAAGGTCCAATGTCCACTTGATAGCATGTCTGCCACGTGGTTTCGCGTAGATTCACTTCACGGCTCGATTCAACTCACGCGGCTAGCTCACACTTTGATCCCGTGACGAAATTAGTTAGTTATTAACTACAAGCCGTTAATCCTAAATTCTTCAATAATCTTCTAGAAATGTTTATAAAAAAAAAAAATTACGTTAATCAGTTAAGAGATTATTGCTACGTTTGTTAATTGTGGTTTGAAAGTACACGATTATCAACTACGAGTTGGGTTAGTGGTTAAATTCATGTGATACCGAAAACATAGAGTTTTTGGAGATCACATGTTCTACAATCTAAAAGAGAGTTAAATTACATGGTCTTAACTTTGCAACTTTAGAAAATGTATGTACCGACCCACGGATCATGAATTTTTTAGTAATCATAAAAAATACATATACACGATTCAAGAAAATTATCAAGACAAAGCGAAATCTAAAACAAGACACGGATTTAGTTATTTCCAACTATGTACAAATTAAATCAGAATTTACTCTCACCTGACCTCCAAACAGAAACCCTAATTAAACTTCGTTGGCCCTAAAAATAATAATCACCAATCACCGAATAACCGGAACGGAGCTCTGCAAATCGGACATGCCAACTTGTACAAACACCAAGAATCTATACATTGCACGTGATACACGTGCCTGCATCTCACCAGAACCCTAACTGCGTCGTTTTTCTGAAAATCCTCCAAGCAGATCACGCAAACCTCCGTCGTGATCCCGCCGTAACCGCCGCAGCCTCCTTTCTTTCCTTCTTTCAAGAGTATGATCGCCGGCGGAAGCGGCTCGCCGGATTCTTCATCTCCGGCTGCTTCCTTCGGTAGCTTCGGGTAAATGAAGTAACATAGAATGAAAACAGAGCCAAAGAAGAAGACGATCAACATAAGTCTCAATGCCAACGATTCGTTCTCCGTTGCTATTTCCGTCACTGGCGAAGCAGCAGCAGCGTAATCGCCATAGCAACTTGTATCCATTTTTAATGTCCTCTCGTGAAGATTAATCGAAATTAGGATTTTTCAGCGGTTTCTTGTGTCACACGGATTTGTTTTATGTGTGATTAATTATAAGAAACAGAGTAACAATTTTAGTTTTAAAGTTTAACGGAGAGGAAGAAAAAGGGCGGGAGCGGCAAAAGAAGAGGATATTCCAGTGGTAAAAAAGAATAAATTTGAAAACAAACCCAACTATTCTTTTTCTTGTTATCAATGAAATTTAATCTAAAGCATGCGCAG